TCTCGTAAAATCATGACCCATATCGATCCAAATCTATCAGATCCAAAACTTGACTGATTCATATTTCAGATTTCAGACGTAAAAACAAACAATCTGACTGATTCAGATTTCAGACTTCAGTACCACCTCTTAAAATTCAGAAGTGAAATCAGACTTCAGACTTCAGAACCTCTTAAAAAACAAACGCCACCTAAGCCTTTTGGTTTGATTTGAACACAAATGAGTTTTGGGGACATTGTTCGGTTTTAGTAGCTCAATGAGGAGCTTTAGATGTATAATATATTTATTGCATATTTGTTTGAAATTACATGTTTTAAGTGCGTTAGTCATTCAGTGGATTCGTATAATTTTAGACTATAATGCATTGGATTCATAGGGATAGGAGTCTATCTTGTTGTTAAGCATGGATTTCTAGTGTCCACCTTAAGTCTAGTGAGTGGTCCCCAAGTCATAGGTAGTGAGCTTGAGGTGGTACCCTATTGGGTTGTATATGGAGCTATTAGCCTACAATGGTACTTGGTTAAGATGTATACAATGCTAGGTCTTGCGATGGTGCTCATTGGAGCCGTATACGGAGAACAATGACTTTATGGTGAGACTCATCTAGAGGTCTAGTGAACACTAGGGTCATTTGGGAATCTTGCGGTAGTGCTCAATGGAACCATATGCGAGGATCCATGGCCCGAGGTGAAACTCAAGAACGTTGCTAAGTTGCTTACTTTTGTGTTTTTACAATGTTCGATGGAATTGAGTCTCCCCCATCACCGAAAGGCCTTGTCTTTAGGTACTTCGTTACCCATACTTTCGGTGTTTTGAATATGTAGTCTTATGACTCTTATCTATATATCTTATGTTTTGGAGTTTGCACTTTGGTGCACGTTTCAAGCAAGTTTGAATATTGGATATTTAACTAAATGATTATTTGGATTGGAAGCAATGAGATTATGAATATGTTCTTTTTTATAACTTACGTTTTAAAAGATGGATTGTGGTATACAAGGACAAATATTTGTTTTAACGTTTTATGTTTTATATCATGAAACTGTTTTAACTCTAAGTCTAACACTTTTCTTATCGCATGTATATCAGGTCTTAGTGGGATCTGAGCAACGATGAACTTATACAGTTTCCAATAGGATGGCTTTAGAGAAGCCATCCGGTTTTGGAAGATAGCAAGTTTGGTGGTTTTAGTAACACCCAACTTGTTCTAATTCTACTTGAGAATTAAATAGTCCCGTTTAAAACTCTGATATATTTTCTTGTCTTCGTTCCTTTGTAAACTTTAAGTGTTTTGTTATTAAAGATTGTTGTATTTAAAAGATTTTTAAAGTTTCAAATTGTCTGTTATTTTACAAATTTTAGGGTACTACATATAAAAATGTTTTTTTTATTAACCTAGATATTCAAATCGTTATGCGAGCCGACTAATCTCAGGACGACCACATGCTTTACATATAAAAATGTTCATGCACACATACTTTGTAACAAAACATATGTTATAAATTGAATAAGCATAGCATTTTAGCATGCATAAAAACTCTCATGTCTTATCTTATTTTGTGAATCCAAATCCCATAAAATTTCCATATTCCACAATAACAATATACTTCAAAACTTGTTCAAGTCCAAATATGTGTCCATAACGATCAAACCAAGTTGTGAAATTATTTAATTTCCAATATTTTTAAATAGTTATGATGCTACAAAATTGTAAGTCTTAGAGATTGTTTACCAAATGCTTAATCAATAAGCGCTTACTGGAAAAATTCAACACTGTCACGTACTTATTGGGTAAAATTTTAGTCAACAAAAAGACATTGTATGCAACAATTTACCCAGTAAGTGCTAACCGTAGTAAGAGTTGTCTCCCTCATTTACCGGTAAGACTCTTGGTCCTTGCTTCGCTCTTACCGGATAAAATTTTTAGTCTTCACCATATTCATTCGGTAAGGTAATATGACTTGGTAAGCTCTTACCCGGATAAGCGTTTGGTAAACGGCCCCTTAGCCTCAATGACTAAATATACATGAATTATTATTAATATTATGATATTTGACCAAATGTCGTTCTTCATAACTAATTGGTCATTTAATAATAATTAATTGCAATTGATTTCTTTGGTGTGTAGATCAGCTGGTAAAAGAGATGAAACGATTTATCCAAATACAAGATAAATCCTAGGTTCGATCTCGGCCCCTGTTAGCCTCAGCCCTTGAGTGAGCCGAAAAACACATCCTTAGATTGGTGTCCTTGGAGATTTCTTGTGGGGCCCACTATAACAAAATTGAGTGCCTTATAAGAAGCAAGTTTATAGTACCAAAAAATAGATTGTCATGTCTAAAAGTGATACAATAAGTTTATAGGACATTTTTAGGTATTACAACAATTTAAGACATTAAAAAAAGTAATGCGTCGTATTACCTAATTTATAGGACACTATTTGAAATGTTGTCCTATAAACACAATTGTTCTATACAAAGATTGTTTATAGGGCATTTCTCAAAAATGTCATATAAAATAGCTAATACGACTTTTAAAAAAGGCCTAAGAACTTTTCTACGACGCCAAAAAAAGTCCTATAAACTTATGGTAACACTTTCAGATATGACAGTTGTAGTTTTTAGTTTTATAAACTTAAGTCCTATAAGATATTCAAATAGTATACTTAAACACTTTAGATATCCTATAAACACGATTTTGTTGTAGTGGTCAGTCATCAACTTTTTACTAAAAAAATAAGATTGCTTCACCTTGACTGCAACTTGCTTCAAGTCACCTTCTTTTCCTTTCTTGTTTATTTAACTGCTAAAATACGAACATAAGGTGAACTCGAGAACATGTATATGTATCATGAAATGTTTTAAACATGGGTATATATGTGGAAAAACTTGTTGCATGCCGACCATGGGGAAGTCTAAATACTATATACCTCTGAAACGAAAGGAAGGTCAGTCATTACACACTGAAACTCAAAAGACCCGGGGGATTAGGGATATCTATATGTTAACGATATTTGCATGTTTTGATGAAATAATGTCTAATCATTTTCAATACCTTCAAGTTAATCTATCGCAATGTCAATCATCCTTCTGATTTTTTCAGTTTTGATTTAACTATGAACGATTGTTGGTAGTTTGGCTTATGATATTTGTCATATCATAACAAGAGACTAGTATATGTTATTATCGCCTAAAATTTGTAAGAAATAAGCTTCATTCTGTTAAAATAAGAGAAAATTTGTAACTTACAAAAACCTGAAATTTCAGTTAATATTATGAGTGTTTCGTTACTAAAGGGGACATTACCAACTAACTTCAAATGATAGTAAAATGCTTAATAGATAACAAACTCGTAGCCTAAATCACTCTAGAGATATATTACATTCGAATGTCACTACAACCATCAAAAGACTCTATATACTAAGCTTGTAGGTGCTCCAAAAATTGTGACCCGACTAGTAATGTTATCAACATCCGGTTCACCAACTCAAACATCCTTACCCCCGCCACGAATGGAACCTGATATACATGTTATTTAAAGAAAAAAAAGGTTAGGTTTAAAACCTAGTGAGTTTAAACAGTTTAATAACATGTTATAAAACATAAAATGAAAGCATAACCTTGAAAAGGATTATTACGAGGAAATACCCATTTCTCAAAAATATTAAAACCAAACACGTCTTGTATAACGAAGGAGACCCAATTTTTCCATTCACAGTGACGAAACATGAAAGTAAGCCATGTATCTATGTTAGTGAGCCCACTATGGATCAATGGTTAGCCAATTCAACTATGCACGGTCTATGGCTCAAGACCCCCGATGATCCTAGATATGCTCATTTACTAGAAATTACACCTCCAGGTCAATGGTTGATGCTTGACTCCATTAACGGCCGCACCACAATGCCCTTAATGACCCGCCGATCCATTTTTAGCTACAATTTGGTGAAATGACTATTCCCCTACCCCCAAAGCTGACAAACTGACTCATATACATATGGATCCAATGCACTACAATATTTCACTAAATATGACCCTTAAATGCCTATCCATACACAACCATATAGTTTTTCGTCGATAAGAATTTAACCAAAATGGTCATGTCCCACAAGATTGGTCACAGTGGCCAAAAGTCTCAAATCTCATTTGGACCAATTCCTCTTTCAAAATCAAATGCCATAATCATATTTTACAAATAGTTCATATAACCAACAAAGGCATTTCCTCAAAGTATTGTTACTTCTTTTTCAATAAAGTGACTAAATCAACAAAATCTTCATAATTGACACAAACCCAACATAAACCTAGATTTATAAGGTTCATACATCAAATCATTTCACAATATAAACAAACCCACATTTATAACAATTTATTGAGAGTCAAGCATTTAGTTTGTCAAAGAATTTCCCAAATCGCCAAAATGATCCAAGATCATTATATATAAGAAATACATCAAAAGGAAGGTTTGGGAGATTAAAATAGGACACTTTAATATGTATATGGTTTTAGAAAGAAGTAGGATGGACTGACAGTACTAGGTTTTGGCTAAAACCTAGAAAACAAGCAAAATCTTAGAGATGAGAATAAACATGGGAATGAGGTTGGATCCAAATTCCCACCCCCATCCTCGATCCCTAATCTCCGTCCTCGACCCTAACGGGGAATATGATTACAGCCTCATCCTCGTCCCCAATGGGGAATTAGAGATTTTTTTTCCATTTATGTGTTAAACACATCAGACTCCATTCAAAATGGTTTATGTTTAAATTTCATATATTCCCAAAATTTTGCTTTTATAGAGTATCAAATATTCCATCGTTAATAAAATCACAACATCATAAGTAACTGTTTGATCAAACGCATTTGGCTCTCAGAATAAAACAAGTTACAAAATTTGTACATAAGAATAAAGGTCAAAATACTTTTTATAAATCTAAAAGATACTAAATATAATTATTTATAAATAATATATTTAATAATAAATATATAAAATATTAAAAGATGGGGAAGGTCAGGGATCACGTTACCATCCCAGTCCCTAGTCCCCATCCGCAGTTTTTAACTTTTGGGGATCCCTATTCTTGGTCCCCGGTTTTGCAGGAAATCCTTGGCCCCATCGGGATGGATACATGGGTTGATTCCCCAATGGGGTGGGTCTCATCTGATGCATAGATGAGAAGGTGATCTTGAAGCTTCAACCCCAACACTATAACTTTTAGCTTTAAATGCTCTTGAATGGTTTGAAAAACTCAAAGATTTAGCCTTGAATGCTTCTACTTTTGCAATAAATGAGGAGAGGATGAGAAAGAGAAGGAAAAGATGAATCCCAAAGAAAAATGGCCTAAATATAAGCCCCTACATCTATCTCGCGACCTGAGGTCGCGACGTAGGTCGCGTACGTCAAAGACCCAAATTGGTCCAGTGAACCATACAATGTATCCCACGAGCTAGGTTGTGTGCCTAGTTAGTAACCTTCTGTTTCCCTCTCGCCTTTCTAGTGATCCACACGACGTCAGACACAACAAGAGTTCGCGGGCCAGGTCATGATTACCCTTTTGTCGCCTTATCACCCCCTTTTTCTTAGAATTGCTTGCATAGAAACTCATCAATAATACATGCAAATCCTTAATCCACCTTATAAAAGATAAGATTACATCAAACTACAAGGTTAAATGGGGCTTTAGCTATATCAAAATCATGGGTGCTATAGATTCTAACATTGGAAACATCATATGATAAACCTAATGACATTTTGTTATAACTTCCATCAAATCTATATGAAAGATTAATACGTCTTTAATGTATGTTTCTTGTTCTTTGACTCCTTGTTTCTCGGGTGGAAGGCTTTTGCTATTAATCTTGAGGATTTCTTTGTCCTCCACATTTTTCCTCCTGCTTTTTAAGTATTTACTATTTATATACGGTAAATGTAACTCAAACACTCAGCTCCTTACCTTTAGCATCTTAAACCCTTGTTGGTTGATGACATCTCTGTTATCTCTTTGGCAACACTACCCTCTCTTCTTTCCTTTAACTCTTCTTCCCAATCTGATAACCCTATCCAACAACTCGACACCATGCCCATAAACGCATTTCATGCCATTAGTACCTCCTCGATCCTACACCCTTACCCAAATTCTTAGATTTATTATTTTCTGCTCTCAAACACTCGCCTCTAGCTCTCCAAATATTCCATGTTTGAAAATCGATAAAAGATGGTAGCATTGCGTTACATGATATAAAATTCTAGAAGCATTACATTTAAAATGGAACGATTTTGAGTTCTAGATTACAAATTTAAAAACGATATTCGTCTATAAGTTTCATAAAACTAATGACCCGTGTCTTATTATAATTTATATATCTTCTCTTAATTTGTTGCAAATGCACTCCACACTACAACAAAATCGGGTTTATAGGACACTCCCAATTTCTAAGTGTCCTAATAGACCTTTTTATAAGACTTAGTTTATATGACCAAAAAGACAAAGTGTCATATCTAAAGGCGTTGTAATAAGTTTATATGACCTTTTTTGATGCCGTAATAATTTTTTAGGACACTTTTAATATAAAGCGTCCTATTAGCAACTTTATAGGACACTATTTGAAAAACTGTCCTATTAAAAACAAATGTCCTATAAAAAACTGAGTTTGTAGGACACTTTCTAAAAAATGTCCTATAAAGTTGTTAATACGACACTTTATATTAAAATGTCCTAAAATTTGTTAAGACACCTAAAAGCGTCATATAAACTTATTACAACACCTTTAGATATTACACTTTATTTTTTTGGTCCTACAAATTAAGTCCTATAAAGCGATCTATTGGGACACTTAGAGATTGTAGGTGTCCTATAAACCCAATTTTGTTGTAATGACCACTAATTTTCTATAGATATTCAAACACGATCAAATATAAATGGTAATGTTTATAATATATAGTTCTTGCACTAAGTTGAAGTCCATGAACAATGCTTACTCTACACAAAAATGAAGAACAAACATGTTTTTAATCCGTTGAGCAAGAGCCATTTCACGATGCATTCCCTTTCTGCCTGCCTAGGGTCGATGAGGAAAATAGGATGATATGATATTAACGTTTTCTTGTAGATCGAGTTGTCGATAGATATCGTAACTAATTAAGACTTCATGGGTAACTTAGTAATTTCAGTGATATGAGAGTGTTCTAGCAGCATATATGCAAATGAAACAGAGTTTTATACGTAAGCTAAAAGTAAAAACTTAATGAAGACGATTCCTTTACTAAATATAGACTTTTTACTTTTTCTTCAACGCTTCCTTGAATTCATTCACCTTTAACCACTTAAGTTTCTAAAATTGCATTTTAAGCCACCCTTTTAATGTTTTTTATAATATCAATCATTTTTAAATTCCAAACTAAAAAGGCATATTTATGACGATAATAAGTAGTGTATATTTAAGTATTTTATTCGCCGATAAATGTAAAGAGCATGCGAATCATGTTTCGGTTTCTTGTAAACGAATGAATTTTTTTCTAATTGGGCATGAGTATGTATTAAAATGAGCGTTTTTCCCTGTTTAATCAATTATGCTTAGGCTAATCATTTGAATATAACAATCGCTTTGTTAATTATGAAGATGCATGTTTTGCCGAAAGAAATATTTGATACATATCGCTTAATTTGGGAACCACTTCGAGGATAAAACATTTGTCTTCCACTACTAAAAGATTATTGGTTATCATCGACAAATGGATCTATCAGTTTTTCATTAGTAACTGTCGAAATCGGTGGATTACAAATATAAGGAATCCGTCAGAACTAATATGGTCAGTAACACATCACTGTCACATTAATTAATTCATGCATTAATCTTGATACTTCATTAGACACTATGCGGTTATGACATTTGAACTTACAACTTTCATTTTACCCTATCGTTCAATATCATTCACTTAAACAAACTCGACTCTGATTATTAACATGACATGTTGTCATTTTCACACTGAAGGAACCCTAAATTACTAAGCCATATTAACGAGTAGAGTTTTAGCTCAAACTACGTTGGATTTGCATCCATAACAAATTAAACTTCAATTGCTTAAACAAGTCCAACTAAATTATGAAACTCTTGTTGTTTGCAAATATGATTAATTCCACACTTAGCCAAAACAAATGGGTCTATATTGTCTAGCTCACGGACATAACTTCTCCATAACATCGTAGACGTTATGAGCTTGAATCCGATCTTTATGGTACACAATGAATTCAAGAACACGTCAATAAACAAATGACAAAAAGTTGTTCAACTATGCACCGTTGTTAGTCATTAGTTAGTTATTTAGGAGAATAACGATTCTTTTTAGATGCATGACATTCGAACAGGTCTCAAAGCATTATTGTGTTAGAAACAAGCATGCTTAGACAAAATGCGTTCTTAAAAGATCATGTTTTAAGAAGAGATTTGTTGAAAGATTAAGAACCCTAAATAACCGGTCATTAATTAATGGTAGTTGTAAGTGGGGAGAGAATTAAAGAAAGGAAAAGATGAAAGCTTTTTATCACTAAAGAAATCAAAGAAAGAAAATATTTTGGTTGATATGCATGACAATTGACAAATGCCAAATGTGACTTTGGCCCCTCATCACCACACCACATCACACTCCTTCCTTACGTTATATAAACACACCCCAATTCACTCCTTTCGTCCACCGTCAAATTAAAGATCGAGCTCCCTTCAATCCAACTACAAAACAAGAATTAATCAATTGTATCGATTACTTTCTTCAATTTCTTATCTTGATTTCTTTAGGTTTGATGACTGAAATTTGCAGGAAAATGAGTGATCATATCGTGCTGAATGCTGATGGGCTGACCGCCATGGAAGAGTTCAAGAAATTAGGGTTTCAGACCAGGGAAGAAGGAGCAAGTTCTGGCAATGAAAATGAGTGGAAGAAGTATACATTTTCATTTTCTGATGACAATGAAGATGCTGAAAAGGGAGAGTGTCGCATTTGCCATGAAGAAGATTTTGTCAAGAATCTGGAAGCTCCATGTGCTTGCAATGGCAGCTTGGAGGTGATCATGATCAAACCCTAATCAATTACTTCTTTAAAAAAGAAAATTCCCCAATAATCATAAACTAACGATGGTGATTTGATGCAGCTGGCTCATCGAGCTTGCATTCAAAAATGGAGCAATGAGAAAAGGAGCACCGTCTGTGAGATATGCAAGCAGGTAAATTAATGCATTTATTAAATAATTCCTCATTTGGATCGATTTCTATAATGGGTTTTCAAAACTTTGATGACCATTTTTAATTGTTTTTGCCCGCTTATATTCTTGAAAAGAAAATACAAAAAAATGGAAATTGAGTATAGATTGGTGGCAATAATTTTCGATCTCTTGCAGCCTTACCAGGATGGTTATACGATCTCACCATCGGTTCATGACGCAATACTCGACATCAAGTAAGTCTACTTTTGTTTAATGATTATATGTTTCATAGTTACGAATGAGATTTTGTCTTTATTTATGAATCTTGAAATGAAGTACAAGATGATGCAATTAAAAATCGTTAATTAGGAAAATACTGAAATGAATTATGATATGGAATTACAGTGATGATTGGGTGGAGATATTGAGTCGAAGCAGGATGTTCACGGCTGCTGAAGCTGAAAGTCTTTTTGGGATCAATCAATACCAATATACAATTGGAGATAGTGTCAAAGCTGTTATCATTTTGGCAATCCTTCTCTTTGTAAGAAACCCTCTCTCTCTATATGTATATGTATATGTATATGTATATGTATATGTATATGTATATGTATATGTATATGTATATGTATATGTATATGTATATGTATATGTATATNATATGTATATGTATATGTATATGTATATGTATATGTATATGTATATGTATATGTATATGTATATGTATATGTATATGTATATGTATATGTATAAGAGCTTTCAAATGAAAACCGCTTTCATTTGTGTAAACCGTGTAAACCAATCTCATCCATCCATTTTCTTGATCAATGGTCAAGATTAGTTTACTTTATTTTAGGAAATTAATATATATATATATATATATATATTAAAATTTTATTTTTATATCAGCAATAAGGACAAAATGGTAAACAAAAATACATATTCGTAACATTATATTGAAGAACATTATTCTTTAATTGAAAATATTGTAAATGACCGAAATACCCTTATTGATTAAATTTAATTAAAAAAATGGAATTTTTCTATTGGTCGAAATTAGTTTACACGGTTTCTTAGAAATGCACGTTTTTCATTTGAATGTGCCCCTGTATATGTATATGTATATGTATATGTATATGTATATGTATATGTATATGTATATGTATATGTATATGTATAAGTATATGCATATGCATATGCATATGCATATGTATATGTACCGGTGAGAAGGAAAGTTAAGTTGAGAATGTTAAGAAGGAATCTCCACCCTTGGATGCACATTAGGATGAGATACATCGAGATGAGATGTACCGAGATGTGCCAAATCAATCCTCGTATCAAAGACGATTCATGGGTGAGTTTGAGATTAAAGGTAATCAAGGGTTTCAAATCCCTTCTTACGCTTCTCAGCTTAACTTTCCTTCTCATGTGATCTTTCGCCTGTCAATGTATATGTATTTATGGGCACAATCCAGTGGGTGCAAAATCGCAAATCATATAAAAAATTGTTTAAAAGTTAGAAACCGTGAAAATCAGTTTGTATGTATTGTTTCATAGATGAAACGCCAAAGAATGTTTTGAATGTGAAATCAACAATATATTATGAATCATATATAGTTTAATATTAAACTTATTGGATGGTTTTGATTGATTTTTCACAAGTGTGGTTTCGTCTATAAAACAAGATGAAATAACTTATGAAACTAGTTTTCATGGTTTTTAACTTGTTGACGTTTTGTATATAATTTATTTTATTTTAAATAGGACAAATTGCATGAAAAAATAGCGTACTTTAACTTGATTCCTATTTTGGGTAACGTACTTTCAAAACTTTCATTTTGTTACCTAAGATGTAAAATTTTAAACATTTAAATACCCAGTAACCGGTTGAAGCATTAATTCTTTCTTCTAATAAACCATAATACATAAAAACTAAATTTAGATTAAGATATCTATGTCATCAAATAATACTGAGTTGGATACCACATCACTCGTCACATCAGCATGGTAACTGGTTAATGCTTCAAACGGTTACACCAATACTTAAATGTTTAAAATATTTACATCTTGGGTACCAAAATGGAAGTTTTGAATGTACGTTACCCAAAATAGAAATCAAGTTAAAGTACGTTATTTTTTCATGCAATTTGCCCTTTTAAATATGACGTTTTATATGGATCAACATATTTCATTTTTGCTTCCTTTCTTAGCCTTGCTGATTTATGTTTTCGCTTGTATTCGCAGTCTCTCTGGTCGTAGGCATCGTAGACGGGTTAGTCTTTTTTTGATACCTACTTACGTAACCTATAGTTGATTACCTTATACTATAACAAATTAGGTTTATAAGACATAAAAAATGATTAAGAGTCATAATATACTGCTTTAACTTACGTTTACAGCAAACAACAAAACGTGTTATTTAAAAGTGTTACAGTAAGTTTATAGAATATTTTGAATGTCTTAACAAGTTTTTCTATTACATTTTTAAAATAAAGTAGCGTACTGGTTATTTATGAAAAAATGACCTATAAAAACAAATGTCTTATGAAAATATGTGTTTATGTGACATTTTTTTTTCTTCAAATAATGTCTTATAAAATCGCTAATATGATCATTGATTTTAAAAAATATTCTATAAAATGTGTTAAGGGTGCAACCAAATACGTATTATAAATTAACGTAATATTGTAACACTTTCAGATAAGATGTTTTATTAAAGCAATCTATTAGAACAATTAGTTATTTTTAGTATCCTATAAACTTGATTTGATTGCAAATAATGGATGATTCAGGAATCATTGGCAGGATTAACTGCTACATATACCTGTTGCAATGTCGATACCGAACTCAAGGCATCGTAGAAGGGTTGTGCAGCACCAATCTGAGTCTGATGAAGATAGACATTCCGTCAATGAGTAATAAAGTAGTACAAACTCGTGAATAAGTGTTAGAATATGATGAACAAAACGTTTTAGTTTGCTTAAGGAAATGTCTTAAACCACCTTCATATGCAAGCATGTATATAGTTGTTAAGTATGTTGTTTAATTGTGTTCTTATTGCACGGTGTTTTAGTTCTGAAACCATTTTCTTCTTTCGTGGATCGAAAGTCCCTTTCATTTTTCATTCTCTTTGACATAACTAACAAAAATCCATATCCTTTTAGGTAATTTTACATCGCCATTTTGCTTTTCAAACAATTTTTACTAAACGTGACTAGTTTATCAGCTAACAACTTGTTTATTAACCAACATCTATTTTTTCAGCTAACGCTTAAGTTTAAGTCAAACTTTTTAGAAAACACCACTCAAATCCTATTATTGATCGACATCTAAGGTAAATCACATCCAAGCCTACCATGTTCGACAACTAGGGTTTCTATCACATTCAAAAATGTTCCACTAGACATCGAAGATTCATCTCATTAAAGCGTAATTAATATGCATTCGAGATCTAAGTCTGCCCCACTTGACATTCTGGGTCTTACCTATTCAAAACTATCACATTTGACGTCTAGGGTTTGTGCCATTCAAGCCTATCCCATTCGACACCTATATACGTATATCATTTGATCTTGATCTTCGAACACAAAAGTGGTACTCCAAAGTGACATTTTAATACAACACAATTGAGATTATAGGACGTCAAAAATGTACATGGTGTCTTAATAGACTGTTTTATAAACTTTAAGTTATAGGACTGAACAATAAAATGTCATATCTAAAAGTATTATAATAAGTTTGTAGGACATTTTTGGGTCTTAACAACTTTACACTTTTGAAATAAAAGCGTTATATTAATTTTTTTTACATGTCACTATTCAATTATCGTTATCGATCGGTTGGATTTTGAGCGTTCGATAACCATAAGTTGTGAACTTCCAAATAATTCAAAGTTAGCAAAATATAGAATTCAGTTATTGAATAAGGTAAGAAATGTACACGTGATGACGACCAATGTACGTGGTATTTGTATGTTTTTATTTGTCGGTGCGATATAAAAATGCTCAAAACGACCTGAGATTATGGACTGATCCGGGTCTAAGCTTGAACCCAAACCCCAATGCAACCCATACCAAAAAAGCATATTTAGGACATGAACGAACCATAGGGACTTTTAGGACTCAAAAGACAGATTAGGCCCATATTTTCGAAGAGTTTAAGGTCGTGTTTCGTTTACATAATAAAATCGGATGAAATTGGAATATGTGAAAGAAATTGGAATATGAAAGAATTGGAATGCAATTAAATCAAGTTTGACCATATGTTTAGTTGACAGAAATTGAAATAAAATATATAAAAAGTAGAATTTATGTGTTTGATTTGCTGAATATAAAGAATACTAATAAAATAACAATAAATGACCAAAAAAAATCCTTTTATGATATTTTCATACTTTATTGTTTAAATTATAGATAACATATAATGATTTAATTAATAATAATATTAATTCGTTGTGGCGGTCATGACCAAGGTGGTGGTAGCAACGATGGTTGTGGTGTCGCCGATGATAACGATGACGGTGGTGGTGATAAGAGTGGTGGCGACAATTATTGTGGTGTGATATGATGAATTAAAGTTAATGATAAAATAATATGCAAAAGATAAGAAAAAATAGAATAAAATTAAAACCCAATTGTTTTAAGAATTGGAATTTCGTAAATTAAACGAATTTGGTTAATATTCCAATTGCTTCAGATTCCATCAAATTCCGACAGATCTAACACCACATAAAAATTAGATATGACTTAAGCCTTTGGTAATCTTCCTCAGTCACTGGTTTGAGCCCCTATAAAACCACTGAAGATTTATCTTCTTGTTTTTTTAAACCCTCATAATCAGTCGAGATGCATGCAAGATCAGTCATGCTTAATAAAAATAAATCATAAATGCGAAATTACCAACAAAATGGTTGTAAAAGTTTGAAACCTGATTGGTTTGAGTTTGAGCTCCAATGGTCAAAAATGTCTCGAGATCCTAAGTTTGAATCCAAGAAGGAATAAAAATCTTCTTTTGATCATGGAGGTTAAAATACGATGACTTCGAACTATCCGCAAAACGATAGTTACTTTGGGAATAGTTGACATGTTAATAAAAAAAAATTAAAGATTCCGTTGGCATACTTTTTCAATTCATATAAATACCAATTTTAACCTAGATTCATCCCCAATTTATTTCATCCCGAAATCGTTGCCCTCCGCCTGCTAGTCTCTCCGCCAGTCGCCGCCTCCGCCTCCGCTGTCGCTGCCACACTTCGTCGCCCCTGTACCGCCGTCGCAGTGGATTAATTTCTGGTTAGGTCATTTTTGGTTTGATTTCATGCTTTTTAATTTTCAATAAGCTCTTTTTTGGCACAATAGGTTAATTGTCGAAATGAAACCTTGTGAGGATATTATCACACGCAATTGAATTATGTTGAGCTTGTTATTAGCATTCTAGATGCTGAAATGAGGTGTTTTTTTAGTTTGATTTACTGTGGAACCGTACATGGGTGGTGTGTGTTTGTATGTTTCTTCCTATTTTGACAGATTATAACCTCTACATGAACGTTTACGCTAACTTATATCACTATGCTCTTACTGTTGTTTATTATCTTATACCTGATGCATTTCTATTCATTTCGTCATGTATGAAGTGCTTTTTTGTTCTGCAAAGATTACAGCAAGTGATGTAGGAAAATGCGTTTGTTCAGGACATCCGGACACAATATCAAATATGAATTAAGTGGAGAAACTGTACTGTAAATGGTCTCTTTGTAGGTTCTTATTTTAATTGCTGAACATGTTCAATGGCAATAAATTAGCAATAACACAAGGGGAAAGAATACAATTTTCAGAAGGTAGACGATTCTACAGACTATTTTTATTCACTATATCCAGTATGAATGTTTCGGTGTTCTATCAACATAAAGAATTTTGGCTTAGTGGTATTCTCTCCTTTGGCCTCCCTGGAGGTCAGGGGTTCAAACGTCCACCAAAGATGAGGAGGGTATGTGAGTTCTTTTGTTGTATATAAATATTATATACTTCAAAAAGAAACTAAAGAATTGGGTGCTACCATTTACTAAGCCCCAAGGAAAAATAGTTCGAGAATAGAAAAATTACTCCCCTGAGTTTGCATCATCCATTGCTAGATCTGTTGCTCACTTTAACAGAAGTAACATAATTCGGGCAGTCACAGCTTGATATGAACCATAAAAGAGAACGCCTACTAAACCGATCTTTCGAAGTAAAGAAATAAAAGCGACGACTGGAGTGTGAGAGTTAGAATTGTCCATGGACACTACAAATTTTGGCGCATTTCCCCATTTGAAAGCTAACTAAGTTATATCTCTTTTCATATTGCTTTAAATTTGTAATAAAATTGAGATTCAAGAGTAAAGACCAGTTTTTAATTTTCTACTTCATCCAAGCCATTTATGGGACTAAGCAATATTGTGTTGTGACCCTGCTCTTCCAAATAAGTTATATTTAATAGTTACGACTTATTTGCAAGGAAATTTGCGCCCCCTTTTACAGGTTCCTTTATATTCTATTAAGTAGATAGGTTAGTAGGTTTAGTGAAGTGGCTTTTAGCATCCAATATGTATGTGATAACAAGTTCAGAAAGAATTTATTTAGATCCTGCCTTCAGTGGTAAGTTTAGAGCCACAAGAAGTCAAATAAGTTCTTGGTTTTTGCAGCAATATAATATCAATTTTGGGGCTGATCTTTTGGTAATTGTCAAATGGTTGTTGTCATCATTGAGACACTGTAACATTTTTTTTGCAGTGAATTACATTCTTGGTTTCTGTGGTATACCCAATCTTTGGATCGAGTATGTTAAACGCTGAAACACATCAACTACTCTAGTGTTCCCTAACTTTTACTTTTCTTAACAGATTGAACAGCAGATGTGTGTAGCAGCAAGTAGACTATAAACCCAGAACTTAACAAAAACCTTAGCCAGAAATTGTATTTCCCTTGTTGTCTCCAGCTTGAATTTATATTCGGCACAATATTACGACCTTGATTCATGACAGCTGTTGAGTAGACAGACTCATAGAGCACTGTGGAAGCATCCAATTTCCATTGCTTATCTCTTGTTGATGTCTTATATTATGCAATAAGATTATGTAAATAATGATTTTGCTCTGTACTTAATAGATGAGTTTGTTCATAAACAGCAAATTGAACTCAAATTTAGGAATGTAAAAGACTCTTTGAACCAAACCAAACCAAACTAGCCCAGCATGTCCCACCTGGAGGTGGGGTTTGAGAGGGTGAGATGCATGCTAAAAGTGTGTCAAAGAAAAGGTAGCATGAAAAGGCATTGAACAAATAGAAAAAAGGAGCAGTGAAAGAAAAACCAAGATTAAGGCTAGGAATAAGCTAAGATGACGAAACCAGTGGAAGAAAGAGGTAAGATGCACCAAAGGCACAAAGAAACATAGGCAGGTACAGAGGAACATAACGAATGAATGACAAGCAGCCAACCTCTAGTCTATCCTAGGGTTCTGGTTACCTATCAGCTGACTAACCCCCACCTACTACCCCTCGAGCGCCCTTCCTACTGCTTACCGTAGCTAGATCCTACAGGTCATACTCCCTAGTCTGCTAAACTAATCTTGCGTCTCCATGAACTCCTATCAGAGGTCATGTAAAAGACTTTTGTATATACAATTATTAATCTATTTCTAGAATGCAATAAATACTCGGATATTCTGTTACTTTCAGTGTTTGGTCTTGTAAATGTATCCATATGATGTATCCTGGAAGCATTATGACATATACTTTTTCGTTGCAGGGTAATTTCCAGAATATGGTAAAGTGTTATTGAAACTAGATCGCTTGGAGTGACTTCTGAGCTGTATTTTAGTTAAGAGAGAGAGATGTTGGGTTCATTACCTATATTGCCCCTCCCAGCACCACCAGCTGATGGTGATCTGGGTCCTCTGCCGCCATCCCAAGTACAGAACGACTCCAAAGATGAGCATATGCAGGAGGCCGAGAATGACCAGAATAAGTCAAAATCCACCCCTGCATCAATCGCTACACACACCAGAACCATCGGTATCATACATCCTCCCCCTGATATTAGAACTATAGTCGACAAAACTGCAAGCTTTGTGGCGAAAAACGGACCCGAGTTTGAGAAGAGGATCATCGTTAGCAATGCCGGAAATCCCAAATTCAATTTCTTGAACACTTCCGATCCCTATCATGCCTATTATCAGCATCGACTGTCGGAATTCCGTTCTCAGAATCAAACCCCGTCTGAGTTATCTCAGCCATCCGATGCACCTCCTCCCGAGTCAACCCTGACTGCGGCTCCTGGAGACGGAAATGATCCAACCGAAAAGACCGATCCGTCGGCAAAGTTTAGATCCATTCGTAAAGTCTTGGACCCCCCGGAGGCCGAGCAGTACACAATTCGGCTTCCAGAGGGAATCACGGGGGAAGAATTGGATATTATCAAACTGACCGCACAGTTTGTGGCACGGAACGGGAAGTCGTTTTTGACGGGATTAACTAGTAGAGAGAATAACAATCCTCAATTTCACTTTTTGAAGCCGACCCACAGTATGTTTATGTTCTTTACATCACTCGCGGATGCCTACTCGAAAGTCTTGATGCCACCTAAAGGCTTGACGGATAAGCTGAAGAAAAGCGTTATTGACATGACCACGGTTCTTGAACGGTGCTTGCACCGGCTCGAGTGGGAGCGGTCCCAGGAGCAGGCGCGGCAAAAAGCGGAGGATGAGATAGAACAGGAAAGATTACTCATGTCTATGATTGATTGGCATGATTTCGTTGTTGTTGAGACCATAGATTTTGCGGATGATGAAGATGAGGATTTGCCACCTCCGATGACTTTAGAGGCGGTGATTAGGAGGAGCAAGATGGCGGCGGTGGAGGAGGAAGAGATTGTTGAAGCTGGGAAGGAAGTAGAAATGGAAATGGATGAAGAAGAGGTACAACTGGTTCAAGAAGGTATGCGGGCGGCAAGTCTTAACGAAAATGGTGAAAATGGTGAGAATTTCAAGGACGTGAGGGTGATTACAGAGGAAAATGAACCTCCGATGAGGATCGTGAAGAACTGGAAACGGCCCGAGGATCGGGTCCCGGCCGAGAGAAACCCGACTAAATATGTTGTTTCGCCAATCACGGGTGAACTTATTCCGGTCAACGAGATGTCTGAGCATATGCGTATTTCTCTTATTGATCCCAAGTACAAAGAACAAAAGGAGAGAATGTTTGCAAAGATTAGGGAGACTACGCTTGCCCAGGATGACGAAATCTCCAGAAATATTGTTGGCCTTGCACGGACCCGTCCTGATATATTTGGGACCACAGAGGAAGAGGTTTCGAATGCAGTTAAGGCGGAAATCGAAAAGAAGAACGATGAGCAGCCAAAACAGGTTATTTGGGATGGACACACTGGTAGTATTGGCCGCACTGCAACTCAAGCTATGTCCCAGAATGCAGAGGATCAAATTGACGGTGTAAATGATGGAAGGAATCTTCCTGGTCCTGCAGCTCCTCCTCCTAGACCTGGTGTTCCATCAGTTCGGCCACTTCCTCCACCACCTGGGCTTGCCTTGAATCTCCCTCGTGTGCCGCCTAATGCTGGCCAATACTCTACTGTAACTAGTGGCGGTCTTGTGCCGCCTCCATCTATGCCATCTATTCATACCATGGTTACACCGCTACGTCCACCACCACCGCCAATGCAAATGAATTATGGACAGCAACCTTACATGATGAATCGGCCACCACCACCGCCAATGCAGCAGTCTATGTCCGTCAACCCACCTAGTATTCCGGTGCCGCCACCACCAGGATCTCAGTTCACGCCGCTTGCACCCCGTCCTTTTGCTCCCCTTTCCATGCCCCAGCATGGCATGCCGATGGTTCCTCCACCACCTATGCCACAAGGAATGCCGCCACCTCCACCACCGGAGGAAGCTCCTCCTCCACTTCCTGAAGAACCCGAGCCAAAGAAGCAAAGGCTCGACGATTCTTTGCTTGTCCCAGAGGACCAGTTCATGGCTCAACATCCGGTATGCTTTTTACAACTCATGATTCTATTTCAGTTTCGGTTTTGTTTTGCTATAAAATTTCTGTATTCCTTCTTTTTTCATACTCTATTCCTAGTAGATTCCTGTTGTTATTAGGGTATTTCCAATGGGGATCCATTTTTGATACCAAACACCAAATTTCACACCATTTTTCCTCCAATGGGCTCCCCAATTTTTGAGACAATTTTTGGTGTTATGAATAGTAAAACACCAAATTTGATGTAAAACCGTTCATTCACACCATTTTTTGTAATGTTTTCGTAATCACAAATTGGTCCTCCAATTTTGAGATTTATGTATTTTTACCTTATAAGTTTACAATTTTAAGAGTTAAACAGATCACGGTTAAAAAAGCTGAGTTTACACCTCAAAATGCGATAATTGATCATTTATGGGAAACTATCGTAATCCCAAAGTTTTAATGCATATGTAGTTATGTATTATTTTTTCTAGGTGTGTTAATGTAGCTTCTATTATTTGATGAAATGTTTGTTTTATATAAATTTCATAATTTAATTAGGAATTAATTACGAATAATATACTCCCTTCCTTTCAAAATAAGTGTCCACATTTCTATTTTAATTTGTCCTAAAATAAGTTTCCACATTCAAAAGCAAGTTCTTACTTTCCAATTTTACCCTTAATTATGAGATGGAGAAATTCATTACTCCATCTGTTGTTAAGGATAAAAATGTCATTTAGTTGATTAAAAAGTATAGTACTTACACATTTCTAAAGTTATGTGTCCTTTTTATGGTCATTTATTTTGGGATGGTGGAGTATAATTTATTAAGTAAATGTAAAAATAAATAAATGTAGGTATAATCTGTAAAGTTAATAAACATAAGAGTGTTATTGAGAACTTAAACAATCGAAGGTAGAAAGGAATATTATGAACTGGTGTAGAAAATGATGTTACCCATCGAAGAAGAATCAGTTATACTGGATGCACCAAATTTTACACCATTTTCACAAAAAATGGTGTATTTTGGTACAAATAATAATTTTCTTCAATGGGTACATTTACTGTTTAGGGTAGAGATGGCCAAAGTGGTCCTGACCCGGCCCTGGACCGACTGGGACTGGTTACAAGTTTTACGGAAATTCAAAGTCTTGGCCTGGGATGTGACCAGTTACACATAGGATATACAAGTTTTTCATCATTTTTCAACTTTTTTGAAGTTTCTCAAGAATTTTTCAAGTAAATGTAATATGCAAAGTGCATTTCGATGCTCGATTTCATAAATAATAATTATAAGAACTTGTGAAATAAACTAAAGGGCTTATGGCCTAGCGGTATCGTAATTTTTGACCTTCGAGGAGGTCAAGGGTTCAAACCTCACCAAGGGTATGAGTTTATTTGTTGCATTTGTCGTATATAAATATTCTATACTTCAAAAAAAAACTTGTGAAATAAAGGTTAAAAACCCGGGCCGAGCCTAAGACCAATTTGTGACGGGCCTGGAAGTCCCGAGGCTGGTTGCCGGGAATAGGATCACTCCTAGGATTTTATGTCATTTTTAGGCCATTTCTAATTTAGGATATGATGCAACTCCAATGTAAATAGTTAGTTTTCTGATCTGAAGTTATCTTGGGTGGCTTATAATGGCAGGGACCTGTTCGTATTACTGTATCGGTGCCAAACGTCGACGAAGGAAACCTAAAAGGGCAAATGCTGGAAATCGTTGTTCAATCGTTATCCGAAACTGTCAGCAGTTTGAAAGAGAAGATCGCCGGAGAGATTCAGTTGCCGGCAAACAAACAGAAACTGAGCGGGAAAGCGGGTTTTTTGAAGGACAACTTATCTCTTGCTTACTATAACGTTGGTGCAGGTGAATCACTTTCGTTATCGTTAAGAGAACGTGGTGGTAGGAAGCGGTAATTGGTGATTCCGATTGCATTCATGGTGCCGGAAATCATGTGTGGGAGTTTCTGTATGTAAAAGATTGCATTGGGGTTTCGAATTTGAGGTAAAATGAAGGTGAAAATGCAATGAATGAACTGTTAAAAGTTGTGGTAAAGATTATGGGGACAATTTGGGGGTGGCGGTGTTAGTGGTATACATTGATTTTGATTCTCTCTTGGCCTTTCTTATTTATATCTAATTATGTCCTCTTCTTTTGGTGGTTTATTGTAGAAATGGGCAAAGGGGATCGGATTTCGTAACCGGTCCTGGTTTAACTGGAACCGGTCGTGACCAAAACCGGTTATGGTCTAACCGTAGAAGAAATCGATTTGTAGGATAAGAAATCCATGGCCACACCTTCATAATCGGTCGACTTCAACCGGTTAAGGTTAACTGGTTACCTAATTGGTCACCCCAGTTACGGCTAGTCCTAAATTTTGTAGGCCAAACCGAGAGCGGGGTAACACTTAACCAGTTACATCTGCTATGTTGGTGACCTTACCATAACCGGTTTGCGCAATCTTTAGTTTGTTTTTAATGTAATGTTTGACAAACTATTTGATAAACTAGTCATGTTTGATAAAAACAAAGTTTCTTAAGAGCTACCTTGAGATCATAACATTTTTAAGGCGTGATTTGTTGTTGCAAATCTGTACATCATATATACACATATTTTTTTACTATTACACAATTAGTCAATAATATTAAACAATTTAAATGATATTTTTTTTAAATACACGTTTGAATGCACATAAACTAGCTTATTGAAACGCTAATTAAAGTAGCGTTTTGATAGCTTATGTCACTTTTTCCAATTATAAGTTTCATTAGTATTAATTATTATGTTAATATTTACTATAAATAAATATTACTAGTACTGATTATTAATAATATTAATTTAAAATTCATTATTAATTAATTTTAGTTATAAATTATACATTGATATCATTTTTTAATTATTTACGATACTATTATTATTTTAATTATTATTCAATATATTTATTTATCAAAATKSAAATATAACAATTTTAACAATGTTTTTGTAACATAAGAATTAAAGTTATATTTATTTTGTTTCATAGATGATAAAAATGTGTTAAATAATTTGAATAAAATATTTAATTTAATTATTAAATATATTTTTTGAAAAATTATTAAATAATTAGGATATGTGAGGTAGACCATTTTTATTCTTATTTATATTATATGTAGTGGTTATTTAAGATCATAAATAATAGTTTTTTTTTTTCTAAAATTTGTTTAACAAATCCAAATATTATAATATATATAATAATCAATTTGAAATTCTTTTAATCAATTTAATTGTTTCTACAATTTTGTTTATGTTTCATATTATTAGAGATTTATTTCGATTATATTAATATTATAATTGATTAATTTTTCAAGATACATTTTTTGGTTATTTTACATTCTTATCAGCTAGTTTTACCAAACATGATTTGTTCATCGGCTAGCTTATTAGCTAACAACTAGCTTATAAGATAACAATCAACTTATCAGCTATTTTGCCGAACATAGCTTGAATCCAAACACAAGTGAAGGATATTCAAAAGCCCTTTCCTGCTTTCCATACCATGATGGTGTAGGAGTGGGGATGGAGGAAGGGAAGAACAGTAAAAGAGTGTCGACCGATATAGGAGTCGACTAACATCAACATGAAGGATGATGGGTTGGAGGAAGGGAAGAATGGTGAAGAGTGTTAATTGATAGGAATAGAGGGAGTGCGAAGTCACAATTGTTGACTTCGAGGAAGAGGGTTGGATTCCAGTGAGAATAAAAGTTATGGTGAAAACGTAAGAAAATATCTTCACCCTTAGATCAATCTTAATTGAATGTCAACACTAATGAGATGTACCGAGATACACTAAATCAATTCTTTTCTAAAACGCAATTCATTGATGGACATGAGATTAAAAAAAGTTCAGATCTCTTCTTACATTTCTCAACATACACAATCCTTCGACTCCAGGAAGATATGGATGTACAAAAACCCGACCATCCAACCAGTGTCTAATCGACTTATAAAATCTTCAAACCATATATATTTATTTAATGAGACCCATTTGAACCCAACTTTACCTAATAAACCCAACATCCTTCTCCTCCTTAATAAAGATTACTTTAATTTTTAATTTCAGGGAGGACCATGAATTATTGGGGTATCAAATTATAAATTATAAATTATTACATTAATATAAATATTTTAATATTTAATTTATTAAAATAAATTAGAGCAAAATCAAGTTCCAAAGCTGGTCCAAGGCGGCAAGAAAACACATCATCTAGAATGTCAACGACTATTCCTCCATTCTTTCTTCATCACCCAACACAAAATCCACCGAAATTTCCCATCTTTTTCTTCGCAAATCGCTTCAAATCTTCCTTCCGGCATTCTTCTGGGCTGAATTCTAAAGAACTCAAATCGAAATTGTTGCAGGAATCGAAGGAATTTGAAGATTTTACATGTCTGTTTGTTGCGTAGAGTGTTTCGTTGGTTTGGGTTGTCTACGGTGGGGTTGGAATCGATGCACTCATATCGGTGCCGACGACAGCGCCACCTGGCCACTAGCCACCGCCGACGAGTTTGAACTTGTTCCCCATCTCTGCCGCCTTACCCTCGCCGTCTACGAGGAAAACCTCCGCCACCCCCAATTCCCTCCGCTTGGTGGGTACCGATTAAACCCTGATTTCGTAGTCAAACGTGTTACGTACGAACAAACACTCGGCCACGCGCCGCCGTATCTCATCTACCTTGACCACACTCGCCTGGAAATTGTAATGGCGATAAGAGGGTTGAATTTAAAGAAAGAAAGCGATTACAAGATGTTATTGGATAATCAATTAGGGAAACATATGTTTGATGGTGGGTTTGTGCATCATGGGTTGTTGAAATCGGCGGTTTGGTTGTTGAATGAAGAATCAGAGAATCTTCGACGGTTGTGGGTGGAGAACGGTAGTTGTTATAAGATGGTGTTCGTCGGGCACTCATTGGGTGGCGGCGTGGCGGCGTTGTTGACGGTGTTGGTGGTGAATCATCTGGAGATGGTTGGCGGGATATCGAGAGAGATGGTGAAGTGCTACGCCATTGCGCCCACTAGGTGTTTGTCGTTAAACCTCGCTGTGAAGTATGCTGACGTCATCTATTCAATTATCTTGCAGGTGTGTTTGCTATTTATCAATCTATAGTTTAAATCATTAATTTCTTAAAATATTTTTTAATTGAATAAAATTATTGAAGTTTCTTATTTGGTAAAAATCTAAAAAAATCCAATGAATTTTCTTATTTGTTTGAAATAATTAAGTCTTTAGAAAATAATTAAGTCTTTGAACATTTCAAAACAAATAAATTAACTAGCATTTAATCATATAAAATTAAAGGGTGTTTTTCCAATCTCTTGTACAGGATGATTTTTTACCTAGGACACCCACCCCACTTGAAGATATCTTTCAGTCAATTTTCTGGTTAGTTCTCTAAACTACTACTGAATATTGCATAATATTGTGCAGGGCAGGTTCATTTTGAGAACTAATTATTCATAATGAATATTCACTTATATTACCAATAGGTCATTGGTCAAACGATATCCGGATTAGTGGTATATCCCAGCCTAGCCTCTGCCTTCATGGAGGTGAGGTGTTCAAACCCACCAATGGTGAGGAGTGTGTTTGTATATAAATATTACAACATCCGTACCAAAATAAGTGTCAACATTTTTACTTTTATTTGTTCCGAAATAAATGTTCACTTTCAAAAAATAAGTGTCTGCTTTCCAAATCTACTCATAATTATAGGATTCAGAAATTCGTTACTCCCTCTATTATTACGGCAAACTTGTTGTTTAATTATTTTTCTTAAACTGTACACCTTTTTAATTTTGAAGGTTTATTTTGGGACAAAGGAAGTATATACTTGAAGAACAATATTATTCATTCATAAATATAAGTACATTCATTATGAATATATGAACATTTGGTTCTTAAATGTTTACGGTTTCTAAATGAACTTTCCACATATTTTGTATTATTCACTTCTACTTGGCTCCATGTTGTGGGGTGAAATATATTATGATTCTGTGTTAAACCAGGGGTTGATGCTTTGGACAGCTTGCCCTGCTTGCTATTTGTGATTTGCATGAGGGATACATTCATACCTGAAGATACGAAGCTCAAGGATCCCAGACGATTGTATGCACCCGGCCGAATGTACCACATTGTCGACAGAAAATTTTGCAGGTAAATTGGTATATGCATCAATGAATATACAAGTTCTCACGGGTTTCAAGTGAAGCGATCCGGTTGGCTAAACTGCAAAATTAAAATGCTCAAACTGCAGACTAGACCAGACTGTGCGGTTTGGCTATTTTTCATACTAGAAACCGCCAAAACGGTCCGGTTCGGTTCAGTCTGTCCAGGTCCATCCATTTTTCTGAACACCACTAATTTGATCCATCCCTTTCTTAATGACATATATGGTTTGCTAAAGACGCATGGTCACGTAAAACTAGCTTATCTTTTGAACTTATTGAAAATGTTGCGTTTGGTTTGACATAAACTATCTTATAAGGTAGCTTTCTGAAAAAGCTATTTTGGTTAGGTTTGTAACTAGCGGACCATTAAGCTAGCTATTGGTTGAAAAACTAGAATATTTGTTTATTTTTACTACAAATTTTTTATCGACTGCGTATTTCATTATATATGAACACTGAAATCGTGATCGATTCTAAACAACAGATGTGGGAGATACCCTCCTGAAGTGAGAACAGCAATTCCTGTTGATGGTAGATTTGAACATATCGTCTTATCATGCAATGCGACATCCGATCATGCAATCATCTGGATTCAAAGAGAAGCCGAAAAGGCTTTGCAAGTAAGCGATATTAACTAAATGTTGCCATTTATATATATGTTTCTGGTCGAATCCCATATCGGCTAGACACAAACCATCAAATTTGTATGTGTACGAATCCCCTATATCTCCAATAACTATGCTAAAATAGAGATTTTGAAGATTTAATAATTATTATTTTTGCTTCAACAACTATATATGCTAAAACGTATGTTAAAATAGAGAAAAGAAGCGGAAATCTCCAAATGAGAGAAATAATATTTTAAATCTTTCTTACCAATAAGAGGTATTGAAAATAAATGTTTAGGAAAGAGAGTAATATTTTATTGAATGTATTAAATATTTTAATAATATAGTTAATGCTAGAATTGCTAAAATAGAGAGTAGTTATTGGAGTCGGATGTAATTCTTTTTGATATATTAACTTTTGATGCCCTATTTAAAAAAAAGCATAGCATAGTTGTCGGAGATATTTTAGAAAGATATTTACAAAGATTCCTCATGCTCACATAATTAGTTCCTATTTAGTGTAACAAAGAATTTTTTCTCATCGAACGTTATAGAGTTGATCGAGAAAACAAAGCCAAATTTTATTACATTTTGCCATATCTCTGTTTGCACCATCTTCACATTTGGATTCAAGTTTTTTGCTCATTACATGTTTAAAGGAGCTACGGTCGCTGCCTCGAATTTACTCAAACTCGATGTGGCGTTTCTCTTGTTGCAGATATTGAATGAGAAGAGTAGTGAATCTGTTACAATACCACCAAAATTACAAAGATTCGATAGGTTACAATCCATTGAAAAAGAACACAAAGTTGCGTTAGAAAGAGCGGTTAGCCTCAAGATACCGCATGCAGTCACGACGAAAACCCCAGATGAGGAGGAGAAGGAGCCGTTAACGAAAACCTCAGAAGAATGTTACAATCAAGAGGAACTCTCTAAAAATGACTTGCTTGTAGAACCCAGACAAAACGGAGATGGCCCGAATTCGAAACCGACACAAGCTAACTGGAACGATTTAGTGGAAAGATTGTTGGGAGAACAGGGGTCTTCACATAAGCGGCCGCTCTACCCTGTAGCATAAAAGGTCAGGTGTACGTACATCTTACTTCCGAGTGAGATATATCGGGCTCGTTTGGTTTGATTTTGTATGTATTGAGAATAGGAGAAACATTACTTTGTATATTACATTTTTTCCTTGTATATTTTTGTGCTCATTTTTGTTGAATGATTCTTGTAAAAAACATTTATATGTATATATGTAGATCTTAGATTAATCTTTGGAACTTTATTCTTATTTCGTTATTGAACCATGACGAAAATGATAATGTGCAAAGAACTAGACCATGGTTCCATTGATACTCGTTGGCCGAAGCTATCCTAATTAGGAAGAGCCTAAACACATGAATAATTGGATTCAAAAGCATCGAAGAATATTAGCTTGTTCGATGGTAAAATCAAGTGCAGTCAACAGGTTCGACCAACAATGTGCATCATAGTCTTCACTGCTTGACAACAAGACGGATCGATATTCATCGTGACTGTGTGATAAACCCATTAGTATTTCAATCATTTCCTCTTAAAGTGAGTTTGGTACATAGGATAGGACAATACACAAATTTGTTGTCCCATGTTTGATACGAAATTAGACTGACAAAGTGAGACATAAATGCAGTTTATGTTCCACCAAAATAGGTGGAACAAAAATCAAGGAAATGAGACAAGATTAGTAAATTACTAAACTACTGATGCTAAATTAAATCCTTCCATAATTCTTTCACTCACGTACTTCACCCTTGTCCCGTCCATGTTCAAATGTACCCTTAAAGAACATCTATAGTCTATGCAAAATCTATCCTACATATCTAGTGAACATCCTTTCTTACCAAACCCGTAAATCCCATGTAGAGGTGGGGTCGATATAAGAGTAGGATGTACACATATCTTTTCTCTACACAGATGTGTATAGTAAGGATGTTGTTTCCATGAAGACCCCTGATGTGATAACCGGGTCCTGATTGTCACCCAATGTATTTAATTATGTGAATTAATTGTTAAGGTAGATACATGCTTATATGGGTTAAATACGTGAGTATGTGTATTTTATGCATAGGGAATATATATATGCATAATATAAGTGCACACACATAGATGAGCGATCAAATG